GGATACTTTCAGATAATAATAGTTGTACACCGGTTTTTTAGATGTATCTAGTCTAACCATCAATGAGTAAACAACACTGGATTAGGTAATGATAGCTATGTTAATCTTTTGAGGGGGTAAACCATCCATTTTTTTTCTGAGAAGCCATGTAGGGAAAACTTTCCATAGCCCACATCCTGTGGAAACCTTGCCGCTTCTTATATGGTTCTTGAGAGAAAAGGGTCTACTGGCCAGAGGAGTGATGTTATGGAGGCGAAGTTTTCAAAAGAGAGAGAGACCTAGGGAGGAAAACCTTCAGAGAGAAGGGAAAAACCTAGCTTCGGCAGGAAAAAAAGGAGAAAAGGGAAGGGAGGGGTAAGAGTAAAAGAAAAGAGTATATAGAAGAGAGGGGAAAAAATAGGAGAAGAAAAATAAAGAGGTATAGGGAAGGGACATAGAGAGAAGGAAAAAGGGAAGACGAGAAAAAAGTAAACAACTCAAAAATTTTCTAAAAAGGAAATTTTCAAGCATAGAAAGGAGAGTTTTTTTATAGTTACTCAGTTATATAAATTTGTTTTAATATTTAATAATGTTTAATTAATTGAGTTTGAGATATTAATCAATTAACAAAAGTAAACTCATTATAATTTTTTAATAAAAGTAAAAATTTTTGGATTTTTGTGATACAGTATACTGTACTAAGTAATATCAAAAAGTAAATATTTTATATATTGCTGGTACTTCAAATCAATATTATAAACAATATTAATATAAAGTTTGATTTTTTGAGTTAAAAAACAATTCTTTAAAAAAGAATATAATTGTTTAATAAAAATTGTTTTTAATAAGAAGTAGAAATACAACATATACCATCTCCCTAGCTCATCACTACAAAATAACATTCTGCTCAGAATTCAATTGCCAACACAAACTCCCAGAAAAAATAACTTCCATATACTATTACCTCTCCCAATACAAAAACTGGAAAATTTTTGTCAAAAAACTTGTCAACAAAAACCTATTCTATATCAAACAGCTCCTTAACTTCAACAACAACAAAATTATAAACTGGCAACACATCTCAGCCAGGCTGGAATACAATACTCAAGGAAAAACTCCCCTTTGATACAATATTTTCTCGCAACTACAATTCAATCAAATAGGAACAACCCCTGCTCAACCAAACAAAAAAAGAAAATGGATAGTGACTCTCATCAATAACAATATAATTATCGGCAAAAAACAAAAAACAAACAAAAAATAACTTACTAGTTAAGCACTGGACATACAATAATCAAGATCTTAACAAATTTCTAACACTTTCAAAATGTAACAGATGTCCTTTCAATGTTCACCCCAACATATAAAAAATGTAAACTACTTGTCCCACACAACTGCCTCAATCTATTTATCAAACCAGTCACAAACAACAAAAACAATAAATATATTTTTTAAGAAATTAGTATTTTTACTGATTTTTTTTCTCAAATTTTATTATAAAAAATTGAATCACAACAATACTATTATATTCGATCTTATAAAAATAATTTATTTATAAATAATATTCTACTTGCAATATTTAATATCATTAATTAAAACTTATATTATATCACTATTGAAATCAGAAGCAATAGAAAAATTCTTTAATCTAATATATCTTTGAATATTTTAAAAAAATAATTAAAATCAATTTTTTCTTATTAATTCAAAAAACAAATTAATATATATAATAAAAATCTATAATAATTATTTATACTAAATCTAAATCCAAACTAATATTAATCAAAACTATTTAGTAAAACAATTCTTAATACATTTTTTAAAATTTTTTAATTAATAATATTCACTTAAGTAGCAGCAGCTAATAATATAAAAAAAATTTCAATATTATTAAAAATTATATAATTTGTAAAAGTTTCTCTATTTTTTAAATCTTTAAACAAATATATATTTTATATGATTTAAAAATTATTAATCAATCTAATAAAAATATTAAAAATTCTATAGTAATAAATATAGTACTGTATTTTAAATATATTTTGAATTAAACTGTTATCAGAAATTCTTTATATTTATCATATATTTTATCAACTTTACTCTAGTCAATATCTAGATACCTTTTATTTTATTATTATTATTTTTTTTTAAAGTGTACCAGCGATAATTGTTTGATTAAGTATTTATTCAATAACGATGTTTACATATATCTTTCAACATTACTATCTAGGACTATGCTATAATATATTAGTTATTAAGAATACTCAACACTTATCGGGATTGCTCCAAATAATGACGTTTGCTGTAGCTTGTTTCTAACTATATTAGGTATAGAGGCTAATCTACTGAACAAAGGTAATCCTTTATTGGATCAGTAGCGTGCATTTTCACTAGTAATTGGTCAGCTTTATTTCTAACTGGAAAGGAATTAAGGGGATGTTGAAAGGGGGGCACTAGGAGTAATATCTATGGCAAATAAAGCTACATGATTACTGCTTGCTTCATTGGGGATAAATCCCTTTACCACCACCTGCAGCTGGGCTAACCATTTAATTTCTTACCTGTCCAATAATACCCAAGAATGTTCAAGATACTTATAGCTGGTACTTACTGCTTGAATATCGACTTATATATTGCAGGGAACAGGACTTATAGCCAGAAGCCTTCTCGGGATAAATACCGCCAGACCGGTTTATTACTGGATTGGGATAAGACTAGGGCAGGGATCTGTGTGAAAAACACTGGATATTAGGGGAAGGATTACCAAACCTACTCATCGAAAGCAAATATCTCATATGCCTTGCAACTTTTGGCGATCATCATAACACCAACCGGACAATCGTCGCACCACGACACCTTTTTTGAAGGATCACAATCCCAACATCCTATTGGATCAGCATGTGAATAACTTCTTATGGGAAACAGGATTTAACAGGTTATGGCCCCAGATACTATTTTTAATTCGGTTCAACCGCCTTCACCTGGGGTTGAACTGGTATCTTGTGATCTGACCTGTGGAGTGTTAACCACTACACTATGGATCCACAGGTCTTCTAGATACCTTTTATTTAAAATAAGAGTTTTATATTAAAAACATTTAATATATTTTCAAATACTTTAAGATTATTCAAAAAGCTGATCAGATTATTAAGACTATTAATTAAATCCTTTATAAATAAAATCATTTTTATATCAAATTTTATCAATTGGACTATATAATAAGATTTGAAAACTATGTTACTTTATAGTCAACACCTTATTTTCTATTGGAATTAAATAGAACTCTATCAAATCTTCCAATCTAATTAATTCATTCAAACCAAAAAACAATAATACTGTGCAAGCCAAAATCATATTTATTATCAACCTTCAAGAAAAAATTATTATTATTATATTTTTCACAATTATTAACTTATTCATCCAATTTAATTATAATTATTCCAAATATATTTATCATTTAATATCCTTGTTTTTTAATTCTATTTCTTTTAATACTAAGTAGGTATTTATGACTACTCAATACTATTTGACAAAATATATTGTTTTAAATTTTCTTTTCAAAATTAATTATATAGTTACTATGGAAAAACTAGTATTTAATTTATTGTCTTTTATAAAAATCAGGATATTCAAATTGACAATGTAAGTTGTTTAATAATATTCCTTCATCTTCGGAAATTAATTGACTGTTAAAACATTAATTTATAATATTCTAACCTATTAGCAGAACTCTTCAACATTAACAGCTTCAAGTACCATCGAATCATATATAGTTGTTTTAGTGTGTAAATTCTTATCTATGATATTTATAATGTATAGTATCAGAAAATATATTGACAAATTTATTTCTTTCTGAAGGAATCAAACCAGAAATCGTTAAAAGATCTGCTTGGTTGTAATCTTTATTGCTCAGAAAATATGAAATCCATCTGCCAACACCATGATACACTATATCCTGATGAAAATCTAATAGACTTATGTCACAATTCAAACTATTTCAAGAAAATTCCTCTCAAAATTCTGGAACGATGCTTTAAAGAGCTTGACGACAAAATTGAAAAATTAAATTTCATCAAATATTCACAAATTCCTGATAGACCAGCGAGGAATGGTACATCAAGATTGATGATCTACGCTGTTTAGATCAAAGTGATTGGCCAATAGTATCTGTTATAGCAGAACACTACCTCCATTGTACTGTAAGCACCAAGTACAAATGGTTTTGCATTCACCCATAGGTGACATATTAACAGTATGTTTACTCAAATTTTTGTAGCATCGAAATCCACTACTTAATTTAGCTACATTAGAAAAACCACATTTAAACTCTTTTGCCCATCCGTGTCTACAGGTGTCTCTTTGGTATATTTCAGCAATATGCTATGAATTCGGAGAAATTGGATCAAAAAATCACGTAAAACGTGAATGCACCGATGGCGTAGGACACCTAAATACTGCTGATAAATTTCAGCTAGTTTATATGGAAGGCTCAGGGATAAATGCAAAAAATGACAAAGAAATAGCAGATGCCACCAAAATATCTAATAACCTTCAAGCATTTTTTTAAATATAATAAAAGATAACATAAAATGTAGACGCAGATTCCCAAAACACTTGCTGTTCTTGGTGGGCAAAGTTTCCGCCTTGGAATTCACCTACAAATTTTAAGCTATTATGGTAAGTTATGTACGTTTGATTTATACTATTATCTATATTAGAATATTCACTTTATTGACTAAGAGTATTCTAATCTTAGAAGGAAAGTTCTGTCTGAATGAAGTGGATAATGCGAATCTTCCACGTGACTTCACAGAGATGAGTATTCTTGAAATGATTTGTGTTAACAAATATTAATAACAAATTACAACAAATGCCTTCGAGACTCTCCTACATTAATAGCTTGAATGTAGTGAATACTCTATAAAAGATAGTCTACTTATTCATTTTTCTTAGTAGTTAACGATTTGTTGAATCAATCGTGAAAACGGAATTATATAAACATTTATTCCAATATATGGGTAATTTTCAACGTAAAAAAAAAAATTGTATGCATTACAATTTATAACGCCGATCACTTTTGCCAAGCAAAATTCTTAATCACATTTGGCATCGAAATCAATACAATGTACTAAATTCCGAAATATACATGCAAAACTAAATACGATTAATTATTCGAATAACTCTTCACGATAAAAAACAAAAGAAATTCGAAGAAAAATATACGTCTATCCCTTTATTGATACAAAAAATATATGGGCCGGATAATACATGATAAAATATACTGTAAATAAAAAAATTCGTCTATCATTTGTTATTATTTTGATGTATACGACGTTTCTCCACGATTAATCCAATTACCGTTTTAACATCTTTTCTAATTGATTCGAGATCCCCCTTCAATGCTGTTTTGGACAGATTAATTCGATATTCGCTTTTACTGGTACAATACAGGCTTTCCGTAGCGAGTTTAATAAATGTCATTCTGTAGCTAGAAAAAAAAAAGATTATTAATCGAAGATAGGCTAATGCCAAAAAATATATAACAAAATTTTTTAGCGGAGTAAACACAAAGTACTATACCTGTTGAAACTATCCCGTAAAGATAATCATTATCATTTTCAAATACCTGCTCCGCGGATCGTTTACTTTTATTCATATGGCTCGCGCTTTTCAGTTGTTTTATATTCTGGAGGTACCCAATTTCAACATTCCCTCTGCTATACATATAAGATCCTCATACCCTTTAATCAAATAATCAACATGTCCAGAGGGATTTTCACCGGAAACATCATCTTGGTATGCGATATACAGTATATTTTTTCATTGTTGGTAGGTTTTCGAGTAATTGCGATTGATGCATTCAGGATAAATGTAATAAAAACACAGTGGGTTGCTTTATTGGCACTATCTTGTATAGTTTCCAAATTCGAAAGCCTTAATATAATTTTTTTCATACATCGTTTTAGAACTTTATCATCACCGATTAAAGAAACCTACTATATAAATGAAATAAATATTTTTTATTTAAACAAAAGATCTGTGTAATTTATATACAGTATAATAAAATTTACATAAAATGATACCTCCATGTCCTAATTGTGGAAAAATGACTTTAAGAAGACTCGGAATAGAGAAAAGCATTTAGATCCAAATCGAGCAAGACCATACTTACCTCATAATTTAACTGCATCAGATTCACAATCTCAAGAAATAAAAGATTCCAATGCTAGAAGGTTAAATGAATCTGTTAAACAATGGGGATCAAGGTTACGAAATAGAGTTAAAGAAGTAATTATGAAGATTGGTGTCAACCACAAAACATATTCCAATGTAAATGTTTTTATGATCACTTATTGCAATTTGATCTAGAAGCATATATTCCAAAAAAATCTCTAATAGAGGAAGAGCAAAGATTTGAGCAAGAATTTTTTGGTGAATCCGAAATTTATCCTGAAGCTAATCTAGATTCTCAAACCCAAGTTTATCATAAAGATAAACTTATTAAATCAAAAAAAATAGTAACTCAACAAACTACATCATTAAATAATACAGAATTGCAACCTGTTCAAGAACTGCCTATTAATAAAGAGGATTTCTAGATTTAGATATAGAAGTACCTTGGCCAGTCCCATTTCCTGATGATAAAACACATTGTTTAATATCAAAAAAATAGAATTCAGACTGCAAAAAATATGTTTAAAGTAGATGGTACTGAATGTACATTCTCAATCTAATTTATAGAAGCTAAGGATATTGATTCGACCAGTATAATATTAGAAGCAGAAAATAAAAATAAAGATATAAAAAATATATTTTTACAATGCTTATATTAGAATTATCCTCTCAAAAAATTAATGAAATTATAAAATTGCTAAAAAATGAAGCTAAATATACTTTCTTAATCTGGTTTACAAAAATTAAAGACATTAATTTGACCAATATACAATAATATTGAAGAAGATAATAAAGATAAAGCTATACAGAAAATACTTTTACAATATCCATATTGAAATTATTTAGAAGAAATTAATAGAATTATAAAATTGATAGAAAATATTCAGGGCAAAATTTAAAAAAAGTAAGACCTGATTAAAATATATAGAATAGCAAGTAGAACCAAAAAAATTCAAAGCTGAGATAGCTGAAGAGCAGGTTAAAAAAATTTTAAATGTAATTAATAATGACAAGCTCTTAATAAAAGTAAAATTCATTTGAATCAATATAAAAATATCTTTAAAAAAAGAATATACAAAAAGAAACTTTAAATTATAAATAAATATAAACCTATTTATAAATCAAAAAGGTAAATAAAGAATATATTTGTAATAGACCAAATGATATTATTACAAAAAAAACAAAACCAGGCATTTAAATAGAAATAAATAAAAGATTTCTAATTAAAAAAACCAGTGTGTAATCTGAGATAAAAAGACTTGATAACAATACAATAGTCTATAAATTATATTAAGTTCAAAAATCAAATATTAATTAATTAATATCTATAAAAGATGAAGTACTTAATTATATAGCTTAACAAATAATAAAGCAATTTAATAATACTAAAAAAGAATATGAACTTACTAATATTTGTAAAAAAAAATAGAAAAAATAGAAAAAAAAAATATACTGTATATTTCAAATATAAAGTATAAAATATAAAAGAATCAAAAAAAAATTCTTAAATAGTTAATTAAATAATCTAATATTACTTATAGCACTATTTTTAATAATGAAAAATATTAAACAAATAAGTATGAAGAAATAGAAATAATATTTTAAAATAAATATGTATTTTCAAGAAATTGGCACTTTTCAAATAATCAAATAGCAAAGTATTATAAAAATAATATATGGAAAACCATTAACAATACTCTTCAAGATTTATAAGTAATATGGTTTATAGAAGTAGATGATACAAGTTAAATAATATTCCAATTTGTTATAAAGATAATTATATATTTAGAATATAATATATATATATATTATTTTAGAATTATATAAGAAATTATTTGAAAATATAATAGAGTAACAATTTAAAATAAATAATTAGTAGAAAAAGAAAGCAAAAATTTCTAGAATTACTTAAAATAGTTGAGTTAATAGAGCAGATATTTGATACAAATTATGTTAAAAGTTAATTTGTTAATAAAATTAATAAATAGTATTCAATATTTGAAAAAATAAATGATATTATAAAGCAAGCTTATAGAAAATATAAACATAATAGACATTGAAATATACTCAATTATTATGCTAATAATATTATATTAATTAAATTCAAATTAAATATTTTATATATTACAAATATCTTTTTCAATATATAATAACTTTATTTCTTATAATAATAAGGTTATCTTATTTTTATCAATTATAGAAGAAATTTTTTTTAGATAAATACAATATATAGATATATAATTTTAATAATGCAATAAAATTTCTAATCTTAATATTAATTTAATATTATTAAAATATACAATATTAAAAAAAATTATATATACAACAGATCACGAAATTTTAAATACAAGAAACCAAAATAAAAAGATAAACATTTTAAGTTTTTATAAAACAAAGTTCTTATAATTCAATAAATATATCTTATAAATTATTAGTAAAAAAATTTTTATTATTATTATAAAACTAATCAAAAAATTGCAAAAAAAATTTTTTTAATAAAATCTTGTCATTTAAATCAATATCTAGAAGTGAAACTTTAAATTTTCTAATTTTATATCAAGATATTTTCCAATATTATTATTTTAACAAAATAATTGATAAATGATTTGATTACTATAGAAAAAGCAATTCTAAATATATGGCTTAACGATTGGTTTATAATAATATTAGGGTTTAATTTTTATTAGTTAATCAAAAATTTATTAGTTAATCAAAAATTATAATTTATTTAATGAGATCGGCGTCATAATATAAAGCAAATTCTATCTAGTATTTTCTAGATTATGTTCTGGCCAAACTTTCTAATTCCGCCTCCTTATTCCTCCGGTTTTTGTACCTCTTCCAATAATCAAGAAATATGACCGAGTACTTTTTCTACCATAGCTTCCGACCGATTAATATCTCTTATCACATTACCTTTCAGCAGAAATTTTCATTACACAGATCGTGATACGATATCACAGCATTACGTGATCACAAATATATGATGAATATTACTATAGTGAGAGTTAAAGTAGATAAATGAGTCTAATTTATTTTATTAGGGAATAAATTTTCACGCGTGTCACATGATTGCACCGCAAATTAAGTTGGCGTCATCACATTCGCGTAATCTGACTGTATACAGTATCTTAAAACTTAATATGGCAACTCTCTGGAATGAAAAATCAAACACCTCGATAGGTATATAAAAATAGCCATGTCTAGTGCAACGCAGGTTTCTACTTCTCTTAATGGTCCAGTGAGGGATGTCGATTGGTACCGCCAGCTTTGGTGGAAAACCGGTAACATACATCCCAAAGCAAAGTGGGAAGAAGCAACGTAAGTCTCAAATTTTCTTTGATGACTGGATACTTTATGCTAATAGCTGATATTGACTGTTATTTATTATCAAGTTTACCATACGAGCTCAAGACTGATGTGTCGCTAGACGAGTATATTTTTCAAACAGATAAACATAATGTGAAGGGTCTTTGGGAATGGGAGAACGGAACCGTTCGTGTTATCGAAATCCCCTCAAAATTTCACGAGTATTGCATTGGTACGATTAATGCAGAACTTGCTATAGCACTTCAGGCCGTGAGGCGCACTCCTTTTGGCTTTTTTTTTTCTGGTGCGACGAGTGAGTGTTTTTTTTTAGCTTTCTTTATGCTATATATATTTCTATTACTCATCATCTTTGATTAATAGCAACAAAAACAGATAGATCAGGCAAAGAAGCAGATGGGTCTATCCGACCCAAAGGAAAACCTCAAGTTCCCCATGGTGGATCTGATGGAGGGGTATGAAGAGTTTATTTCATTCGCTTTCTAATGTAATTATTGTTGAGAATTCTAATGTTGGTGATGACATGTACTCTTAGAATGAACCCTGGCCCAGTCTTGTAATAGAGGTCGCTTATGCCGTAACCGAGGCGGAACTTAAGAGGAAAATAGAGATTTACTGGCTCTCTCCTAATAGAGCTCACGATGCAATTGGCATTAACTTTAACTATGTACCAGGCATGCGTCCAACGGAGATGACGGTAAGTAATCGCAAGAGGATTTAATTTTGCATTTGCCATTGGCACCATTTAAATGATATTTGTTCTTTGATAGGCTTGGCATTATTGTATAAATAATCGAACAGCCGTTGGTGCACTCGCCCCCACTATGGTATGTTATATTATTAAGTGCTTTTTTACCACAAAATTGAGTGAATCTAATGTATTCTCTGTTCAGTATGAATTCGGGACGGTTGATCGTCAGGGCAATCCCCTCAACATTGTACTGGGGCAATGCGTGATCAACATTCAACTGAGTTGTCTTTACGATGGGATGCCACCTAACTTCATACTTCCTTCACCCCCTTTACCTGACCCTATTTCCATCGATCTCTTTGATATTCGGTATGCTGTTTTAAGATGTTAATTGGTGCATATAGTGTCCGACTCCTATTCTCTTGTCTATGGAGATGTTTTCACCCTACATAATAATTCTTGGAGAGGGACATTTTTCACCTTGCTACATAAATATACAGAAATTTAAAGTAAAAATGGACCAGAATATTCTCACGCAGTTTCGCTAGATCCAAACATTTATTGTATTGGCCATATTCGAAAAATGAAATAATAAATTGTTAATTCGGCCCCCGGTCCCACCCGCTCTATCTATCATCTTAAAAGGAACTCGGGATTGATACAAATTCTCAGTTTATTTGAAAATGGGAATGCTTTTGGAGTAATTGATCGGTCTATGCTTACTTTTAAATCGGCGTGCTGCACAACCGGATAAATCGACGCAATATTTGTATATTCGGCACGAAGTGCCGAGGCGAAAGAATAAATAAGTTTTTGGCACAAATCGTTATTTTTTAAAAAACTTTGAGCATATCCACAACTTGTATAAACAATGTCAGACACTCGATCAAAAAGTCGTTTCGTTGCAAGGATTAAATTCTCAACTTATTGCTACAATTTTCGAGCTTAGAATGGAGAATGCTAAGACTCTTGAACTTGAAAAGAAAATTGGCGATATTAAAGCTATAGATGTGAAGCTGAAGCAGATTATCGAGGAGAATGTAAAGCGTAATTTTAGAATCAAGGAACTAGAGCAAATAAATATAGAGCTTGAGACCAGACTCGCTATATTAGAACAGGGAGAAAAAGAAAAAGGTATTTTTACAAAGATGTTTCGCAATCTCCAGTAAATTCCAACGATACTCCTGATGCTCCATCATCTGATATAACTAACAACACTTTAAATTCTGATGTTTGCCGAGAGACGAAGACTCAATGCACCACATCACCAATTCGCGCAAAGACTAAATCATCGGAAGACTCACGGAATGAGGAAGCTATCGCATCTAAGGTGATAGATGATTTCCCGGATGAGGAGCATAAGAAAAGGGTGGTTAGTGATGAGATCAGGCAGAGAGAGCACGAGGAGAAGCTTCAAGAAGAGTCAAAGACTTGTCGCAAAACATCCTCAGCTATTCACTACCTGTCATACAGTAGTACTGAAAAAATTCACTCAAAAAAAAAATCAAGATAGAAATTATATGTATATGAAAACCATTTTCTTGGGGAACGATCGAGATGTAAATTTATAATGTTGTACAAAGACTATTAGTTTGGGAAACGATCAAACTGGAATATCTGAATTAGAGCAATATGTCGAGTGTGATAAAAATGAAATTGTAGAGCAGGGTCTAATAAAGAATTGCATTTACTGTATCTACTGATGAGTAACTCCTCATTGATTCTACTATAGATAATATCAACTCTATTTAAAACAGAATTTATGTTATTATAGCAGATGGTAACATCAAAAAGAAAAGAGCAAGAATGATGATCTATAAAGAAATAAAATCCCTTCTTACTTGATACCTATAAAAAAAGTTCTTAGAGCTAGAAAATTTCTTATGCTATTTGGAATTAGATTAAGCTGATTATACAGTATGGTGCAAAAAAAATAACAATTATATTTTTAGTTATAACTTAATAAATAATTATTGAAAATTTATAAAAATTTATAAATATATAGTTAAATACCTTATAAACAACTTTACTTAATACTGTTTTAATTAATATATTAATATTTTTTAAAATAATTTAATTTTTATAATAAAAAAATTTATAATAAAAAATTTTTGTTCTTTTATATATATATATAAAGTAATCAGAAATAGGTTTAAAAAAATTGTTTTTTTTTTAAAGTTTGATTTTTTAATACTAAAAAATTTTATAAAAATATAAAAATATTATATAAATATTTCTGAACATTTCTAATATTTATATATACACAGTGAAATTTGATATAGTAGATATTTGATATAGCAGAAACATATAAAAATCTCAATATAGTGGAATAGACTCAAAAATAGTTATAATAAAATAATCTTAATACAATGGATTTAATAACAAAATTTTAAAAAATCTTACTATAGTGGAATTTTCAAAATTTTTTACTAATTGTTCTAAGGTTATATTATATCAAATTTCACTGTGTATTATTTTTTTAATAAATTCATTAATTAAATAAAAAGTTATACTTTTTTTAAAAAATTTTTTATAATCTTATTTTTGAATCAAATTTTTTAAGGATATCTTTAACTTTAAAACAAAATATATTAAAAATTATTATTATTATTTAAAATTATTTAATTATTTTTTTTTATTATATTTTCAAAATTAAATTAATAAAATATTAAATTATAAAAAAAATTGTCATTTTTTTTGCACCATAATATATATTGCATTAAAAATTCCATTAAATATTTAATTGATTGCGATAGAATATCTAGTGAAATAATTAAAATTTCAGACGTCGTTAATGCAATCAACCTTTTCCGAGAACCAGATCCCGATAGTATTCTTTCACAGAATTTGTCGATCGTATTTTAGTTTTTTCTACAATTATGTCATTAAATCACGGGCCACAATACAAACATTCTACTGGTAGAAAAAACTTTTGTTACGTCATATTTTTGTCATAACAAGTAAGAAAGTGAAACCTTCACGTGTATAATAAGCCTATATTTACGCGTTTTTCAAGTATATAAGCGGTAAAATTTCACGTTGCTTTTCTCTTATCTTCCCTACTGCAAGGTCTCTTTCCGAACTGAAATTATTTCCGCCACGAAAGGTCTCTCCGAA